CTTCCCCCGTGCCGCCGTCTTACGCCTACAGATAACTACGAGACGTGATTGAAAGTACCAGCTCCAAGGACTTGAACTGAAATTGCTATCTTCGTACCATCCGATTTGGGCAATTCCAATGATAACGCAAAGGTCAAGACAACATTCCGACGTGATTCAGCCTCGAGTCTGAGAAAATAGGTTGGTTTTTTCTTTAAAATAATCCCCTCTCTGAAACAAGCTAGGCTAATACTTCCTAACGTCATGTCATCGAGAATCTTACATAATTCGTTGGTCCCTCAATAGGGAAGATGCAAAGCGCTCTTCTCCGACTCAGCGGGGTTACTGCAGTCATTCCCCTCGAGTAATACACGCATCAAACATTCGACAGATATCATGATGAAAGTCGATTCCGCTGCCCACGAGGTTGCCGCGCCCTTTTACGCACTTCGCAAACTTCACTAAAACCACTACTACCACATTGTGATAAACACTTATAAATCAAACAATAACGCTTGTGAAAAGCACTAGCGGTTTGGAAGAAAAAAGGAAAAGCCAGCTTTAACTGGACAGACAATTCAATCTCAATACTCAGTTAGAAGCACTATGTCTTTTCTGCCTGCAAAGCGGGGAAAGCTGTCAGCTGCAGGAAATGCAAACCGAAAACGAAAAACTTCTCAATTCCATGGGGAACGTCCTTTATGAAGATAACGGGCAGAGATGATGTTATTCAACAGCCACTCATAAGAGCTCAAACAGGTGGCCTTATCTGAAAAAACTCGAAAGAGTGGGGATTTATAAAAGGACCACGATTAAAGAAGTACGTTCTTATACGTCTAAGTTCAACTGGTATTGGAAAGTTGATGTTGCTAGAGTGGACATTATGGAGAACAACTTCATGTGGAAGCATTTCGTATAGTCAAGAAAGAAACGGAGCCCAGGAGCCATGAGGGCATTTTACTTGTACACTAGAAGTAGAGCGAACCTGATTCAGCTAGGAAAGTCAAAACTTTCGGATAACTCGTCCCGACTTCTCCCCGCCTTGTCGTAGTGCATAAGAAATAAAACTAAACAAACTCTGCCTTTCGTATACTGTCAGAAAATCAGCGTTGCAGGTACATAAACAAGAGCAATCACTGCTGAGCAATGAAGAAAGTAAGGGAGGCAGAAAATTCCACTAAAATGTGATTAGAGCTGCCTTTGCAATCATATTTACAAGGGTCGAATTGATGAAAAAGAGCGTGGCTGGGTAAAGGAGTTGCTGGAGGAAATGACACTGTGAAGAATATGAAACTTAAGCGATTATGGAAAGAATTGCGAATCCAGAGAAATGGCATGGAGTGATGAAATCTAAGCTCTAGATGGGCAAGTCAGAGCTCGGGCCCGCTCCCTGAGATATATGCTAAGAACCGACTGATAAAACGAAGTTTTTTCATGACTCGAGAGCATACTTCTTTGAGTTTGCCGATTAAAAGAGTAAAGGCGGCCTCATAGAGTGAATAAATCCGGGTAAGGTTTGCATGAGAGGAAGTACAAAAGGAAATGAAGAACCACCAATCCATCATAGTTAGTAATGAAGGCCATTAAATACTGAAGAAACACAAAAGAAACGTCTACCAACCTTTTCTAAACAAATAAAACGAAAAAGGAAATTGATCGGTAGCAAATGGATAAGTTTAAATGGAATGGCGATAGCGAACAATTAAAAAAAATATCCATGAGTCTAAACTTACCGAGCATGATTACGAGGATGAACATCACGGAAACTCGCCGCTCATGGTGCGGGATCTCAGGTTCAAGCTCGTCCGCTTGTGCTCGGGTGTCCTCAGACGGCGGACCGCCGAGTTCCGAATTTTGCGTGTGGATTTCGGAGATGTCTGAAAGGCAGGAGTCTTATTAATGCAGTACCATAACTTGCTGAATTCACAAGGTTATCAGTGGTCTTGGGGCAGCACTTCAAAAGGGCGAAGTACATGGAATTGGCGACTAAGACTTGGGGACCACCAGTTCCTCAGCAACTTAGATCCCTAGTGGTCTGTGCGGTCCTCAGAAGTCATGGTTCAAGAAGGGCCAAATGGAAAGAGTTCCACAACATTGGAAAAAACCGCAGTGCTCCGGGTTTCTTTTCAGTGGACATTACTCAAACCAAAGGGAGTCCTCAGAGCTCGTTACCGTACCCTAGTCGCTACTGTCCACACTGTGATCAAGGAAACGGAGGCTTCACACATGCTGGCAGAAGAACATCAAGGTAACAGAAGGGATGGCATCTGTCTTCCGCTAAAGCTGCTTGGGGATACGCCTACATGTTCGACGTCAACATATTGTTCAATGAACGGCGTGATTCTCTACTAGTAAGTAATTGTTTCATAGTACTTTTGCTCCCACTAACTATAAACACATATTACTGCCCCATTGCCTCTACACTCCATTATTGTTAGGAATGTGAAATATCAAAGGGTGATTCGAGTATTTACGTGGTAACGATACCGCAATCTTAGTCTTTTGATGCTACTAACCATAGGATCTACTTGAAAAAAAAGGCGGGGTTCAAAGACTGAAGCGGCCTCCCGATACAGTACCTTACTCTTTTAAAGCTTCCCAAAGGAAGGTACAATTCTTTCGATTAGCACAACACGTTCAGTACTTTTCAGCACTCCAATCTTCCAATTTCCAAATTTTTAAGGGATTCTCGCCTTCAAAAGTGCCAGCGTCCGACTGATTGTCGTGAGTCTTCCGTGATCGCCGGACAGCTGTGCCGTATAACTGTCGTTGTTTTTGAAGCAGTTCAATTGTCGGCATCTTGAAAGCAATGTTAATAAAAAGATAATAAAAGCACAATAAAAAAAGATTTTCACAGTGGTGGTCCTCGCAGACCAAAGACCTGGCATTCTAAAGGAGAATGCACGGATGCGACAAAAAAAAATTTTAAGTGATTCTATCATGCAAGATGAAGGCTCTGCAGTAGCAGTACATAGTGTTACTGTACTGATGCCCACATACCTGTATTCGTGGGTGATTCTTCCGCATTTTGCAACACATACACTTTATGCATTTCCAACAGTGAGCATAGCAGGAGTCCATAAATTTCCGATATGTGTTATGTACCCAAATAATACCTCCTGAAATCGATTATCGATTGATTTGCAGTTAAGACTTTCACAAGACTGAGGTGGTAGTCATTGGGAGGGCCAACGTCAACAAACCTACTGCAGAGCTATGTAAAACGGTTTATAGTTCAATATGTCTATATTGATGGTATGTATAGCGTCCCTCGAGCGAGAAGGGATCGCTGGGCTACGTCTGCCAACGACAGGGGCCAAAGGACAGGTCAACTGAGCCCGTCAGAGCAAATCGATAATTAGCGGGACAGCAAATGCAACGGTGATCAATTTTTCAAACTATGCACTGCTGGTGAGATTTAAATTCTAATGAAGCAGACACGAACCTGACAAAAATCGTCCCATGTCGGCAATAGTGACCAGAATAAGAGGTATGCCGAATAAGGCGTAAAATATAATCGCTATTCGTCCAGCGTTAGTTCGTGGAACGATATGACCGTACCCTGCAACCGACAACCTTTGATTGTAACCAGTTCTAATCAGTCTGTTTGAATTACTCTGACTTTCAATTAAGGATCAATCTTGCAATGGAGGACGGGCATTTTCGGTGCTCAGAGGACTTGCAGTACGAAACAAATGCTAAGATGAGCTCGTGAGCACTGATAGGCTTCCATTGCGAAGTGCTTGAACCATCAGTTGAAAGCACGCTTCTATTGGAATAATGTAAAGCCCCAAACAACCTTCGGAGAGTCCTCCGCCATCTAGCTGAGTGATGTTATCAACAGTTGCGAATTCGTGGCTCGGAAAAATGAGTAGAGAACTGCAGGGAAGATTTCGTTACTTCGGTATCTCGTTATCAGTTTTACATTGATGTTTATGAGATTGCTGGGAATGAGGGTTTACTTTCGATTTCGGTAAGTATGGCCCTCACATTGGCAGCGTTCAAAGGCACAAATCGCAATAGACCACACCGGATGAGTTCGGGCCCCTACTGATAACATATGTGCAGATGTCAGGTCGAGAAACGTCTTGGATAGAGCACAGTAAGGGGCCAGACATTGTATAATGTGGATGCCACACCCGCAGCGGACGAGTTTCATCGGCGTAGTAGAGGCTGCGTCATTCTCAAGAGAACCCGTATAGGGAGTTCTATCAACTTGTTACGACAAATAGCGACAGTGGTAGGCAATTTGGACAGTTTTGGATTGATGTAGCCAGCTCTTTGCAATTTACACTTGAAATTTCGTCCAAATGACCATTCCATGTCATTTCCTTCATACTAATCTCGCATAACTACTCTTTTCACTAATTTAAGGTAGCCTTCTTCCTCAAACGAAGTCGGTGGATTTTCTCGGCTTCTTTGCCAACGATGCACCACCCTTAACTAATATTTTCGCTTTTCCACTTGAAAAGGGTGTCTCAAAATCAGAGTGAACTGTGCCTTTAAGAAACAACGTTGACAGTGTTAATAACTCGATCGGTCGGGATCAAAATCCCTGACCAGAGTCTTATTTAAAAAAGGCCCAAAGCCAAAAAGAAAAGGAGCTCTTCCAGTGCACTTTAAGAAGTAATTTGCAATAATTTCTGTTCCCTCATTTTAACTGCTTGCATTACCTCATTCCAAATGATTTCCTTGATGTACTGAGGCTATTCATTAAAACTGTACTCTGTACGATGCTCCTGTTCCTTACTAATTGTCTACGCCTGATCACACCAAAAGTCACTTATTGACTAACAATCAGCCACACTTTCCATCGTCTCGAGTGAAAGTAGTAGCCGTAGGCTTCTGTAAAGGTGGAGGAAAGGTGGCAGACCCTGATATAATAGGAAACCTCCCGAGGCGAACGCCTTCCATTGAACGGCATAGTCGCCTTCTCGTCTACGAATTTAGGTAGGCTGATCGGGGAAGCTCTTCATCTGTAAGTCATAACTTTTAGAAGTTTACGACGTCATCATAGCGGCTGCTTCATCATGTGGCGTCACAGCGGGCAAGAACATTCTCAGATGCAAATCAAGTACATCCACAGCCATTCCCAACGGGCTATGATGTCATTGAAAAAGATGTTGTACAACCAAGTAGTGCAGTAATTTTAGGTGCTTCCTTTCATTCTTTCACGGATACGCTCGATAACAGAGACTCCCCTGTCAGGCAGGTTGTGAGTGGAATTGAAGGTAGACCGATGCACCATCAAATGTAATGTCTATTCTCGAAAATTTCAAAAACGCCTTTCTCTTCGAATTCATATACTTTGAGAGCACCTGGACACCGTCGAAAGACCTGCTATAAAATAAAGCAGAACATGTTTCAGTCATTTTCTGCAAAGTGATGGGTAGGTGTAAATGCCACCGTATGTCTGCTCAATGGACTACTAAGAATGCACTCGTCCAGGTGTATGGGAAGTATCTGTTGAGATTTTGCAAAAGTTCATGTTTTTCTGGAATGTTCCGCAAGATTTCAAAGGGACACTCTGAACGGACACTGCCCGATTGTACAAAATGGCATAGTAGAGAGCCCGGGGCCGAGTACAAGTTTGATGGGCTTCAGCAGCGGAGCAACCAAAATCAAACCAGTAAAGAAGTTGGAGTCGAAGAAGGAGAACAGCTTGATCATTACAGGGTAAAAAAGCAAGACAAGGTCACTGTCCTCACATAAAAATTCTTCGAAAACTTCAAGAAACTTCAGGAAAGTTCTCGACTATCAGCATATAGATTTTGTAGGGCCTAACAGAAAGAAAGCATATAAGTTGAAACAAAAGGCAAACAGAGGGAGATTTCAGCTCTGTTCGAGAAGTATCCGTCATACATCGTACCTTTCCTCGCTGAACATCAACTACATTCCTTTGTCTAAGAACTTCCTTGGTTTCTAGGAATTCGCCATTCTTGAGTTGAAGTTCTTCGAGAGGCGGTAAATGAAAAGGAGAACGATTACGCAGCTCAAAAAAAAAGTTGGATCAAATATCCCAGATGTCGGCCATCTATCTACGAGTAGAAAAAAAGCTACTTGGGAGGTTCCAGAAAAGCTACATCGGAACGTTCCTCTCTCTAGAACTTCCCAAGTATGCTTGTTTTACGGCGAATTTCTAGTCAGAAGTCATTTCAGCAACAAAGGCTTGTCAAGTACTCGTGGAAAAGCTGAAATCACATTGTCCCCTAGAGTAGCATAGACTGGAGTTCGTGCGCATACCACATTTTCGGGTTAGAACGATAAGTGCTATCGTTTATCACCTCGCTGGAACTCTACAAGCTTTTCGCGATAGCTTTTCACCAACAAATGTGCCAGACCCCTCTACCCTTTAACTCTGAGCATGCTAGAATGATAAGCTGCCACCACAGTGTCTCAATTTCGACAGAATAAGGGTCCCAACGGCACTCTGCTCCTCACATCTTGGGTCTACAGGACAAAATTTGCTCCACTGCTGATTAATGATACAGTACAAATCGACTGTGGCTTTAACTTGTTCCACCTTTCACCCTCTTTTCCTTCTTCGGGGATTGAGAAGACGAAAGTTAAGGGCAAACGCTTCCGAAAAATCTTTTTTCAACAGCCATCGACCAACCCAACGGAAGCATCGCACACGAAACAAATTGAGTCATCTTGGCGAGTCCACTTTTCTCAACGGTGGTCGCTCGAAAAATGTCATCGTTTCAGCACTGTACACGCTTATCAAATTATTTCTTTCCCGGACCCTTCTGGGATGTTACTTTGAGGCATCGCTTGCTTCTTTGTTGTCTTTCTCTTCCCCATCGTCAGCACATTCTTCCCCCTTCACTTTTGGCGTCAGCAGGTCTTATAGCCTACATCTTACCAGGGCCAAGGGTGATGAGTTCGCCCCAGGAGCCATATAGAGGTCTCATCGAGCTTCATCATTTGAAATTCAGCAGGGACAACCTCTACGTTCGTTGTTACCTCGTGACCTCAATATTTTTCCCCTTGATGGCAGGGTTTCCTTGCAGGGTCTGACAGATATGTGCTTAGGCCAACCCCTCAATGGAGGTACTTGCCCAAAGTACTTTACGGCTGGTGTTGACTGCTGCCATTGCTGCGACCTTCGTGTCCTTATGTACTACTGCAGCCATTCACCAAAGTATAACCAGTATACTTAGAAAGTCTATGTGGCCCACACTTCTTGCACGATTCGTCCCGCGATCAATTTGGCCAACAGCCATGTCCTTTGATGACGACAACAACGACGACGACACCCTCGATACGCGTTGACGCATATCATTCGTTTTTAACGCATCCATATGCTAACCGTCATCGATGCGCGACAGCAACTCGCCTCAACCAACGCCTATTCCCAACGGGAATCCCCAAGCGCACTGCTTCACCCAGAGTCCTCTGAGCTGACAACAAAAAATATTATAGAACTCAATACATCAACCAGACGTCATCTCAAACGAGGCCCAAAATCGGAAGCCAACGTACCGATTGTCGTGATGGCAGTCCATGAGAAGAATATGCTTGAACCGAAAGACCATTTATAAGGACCGGTGCCTGTGATGACATCTTCAGGTGTCATATAATTCCTAGTATAATCGATAAATACGTCACGTATAATGTCGTCCATGCTGAAAAACGATAGAAGTAAAGCTTGGATATGGGCAACTTTAAAAAATCTGGGGGCAATAGCTGGCGTAGATTGCAAAGGGGCCGAAAAAAGGAATATTATCTAAAAAAAATCGAATCAAGGCAAAATTCGAAGCCTACGTCCGAAATATTTCATTAAAGAATTTGATCATCAAATCACTAGCAAGCAAAGGAGTATATTTTCGAAACTAGTTTAAAAAAAGAGGATTTCTTAAACTGTTCGACCAAAATAGGGTTTTGGTCCTTAAAATTCTATACAAATGCTTTGAAAAAGGCTATTGTAGTGATAATTCTCCTCATTTCAAATGGTTTTTTTTCAGATAAGTGGGTAAGGAATTATTCTAGGAGCTCCGGAAAATCCGAATTGTCTTCATGACCCCGGTGTGAAGAGGTTTTATTCCTACCAATGGGGCCACTTCACACAGGGGTCTTGAGGACAATTCGGATGTTCCGGAACTAGGGAGAATTAAAATACGTAAAAATGAAAATATGAAGCTATGGAAATAATTTCTGCTACGAGTAATTTATGGATATTCATCATAATTGGATACTCCATGAACTTACGCGATTTGTGCCCTCTCCGCCCAAATGGTGTAAGGCGTGCCGTTGTTGTTCATCTCCCACAAATCATCGATGATTCGTTGTTTTAACGAATGTACACGATGAGCGGTTTCATTCCGCAAGTGCTCCTCGAAAGGCTTTTCGTACTGTAAAATATCGGCTTGAGAAGGTCTCCAACCTGGGACCCTTTTTCAGAACAAATTCGTTTTTCAAGCTAAGAGAAACGAAAAAGTCTTTGATCATCGACTTTCAATCACTTTAATTGCGGTAAGCATAGTTAACATTGATTCCGATAAAAAAGTAATGAGTGAAATGATAAAAATAAATTTCACATGAAGATTCTGGCAGATTGAAAGCATGAAAACAAAGATCACTCGTGAAGTTACTTACTCCTATCACACTCATATTTGAGACACATAATAAAACCAATAATAAATAAAAATAGAAGTTCATGCAAGTAATCAATTGTCAAAACACTTACGTGATGAAATATTGCAGCGCCGAGAAGGGTGTAGGCGGTAGAGAGAATGACTAGACCAACGTGAGGTAGTGCTATGCGTAGGTTCTGAAAACAACTGCCTAAGAGTCCAGGATAAGGACCTAACATGTTAAGAAAAAAAATTGAATCATAAAATCACAGATAGTTGGGACCTTTAGAAGAATCAATTTAAACCAGTTTTTTTTTCAATAAGTTGGGCAAACCACATGAGGTATTATGAGGTAGGACCTCAAAAGAGAAGTCTTACAAAGGGGCGAGTTATGGGAAAAACACCGGCCTGGGATGGGAGTTAAGAAAGGGAGGGTAAGCAGGGTCTGACTGATGTAAAGAGTATAGAGACGGTGCCCAAAAAGCACATGTGAGGGTTTAATTCAGTCCGATGCTGGAGTTTTGCCCATAACTTGCGAGGCTTATCGGACTTTCAGACACCGGCGAAATAAAAGCAGTTAACAAAACATTTCTTGGGTTAAAGTCTTTGATTCCGAAAATGAGCTTTATTGTGTTTGAAGTCGTGTTCAGGCCAAAGCCGTGGCGAATCATTTCGATGAAAAGGTTCTCAATCTGTCTTCATGGGCCGAAAAAATAGTTTACAAAAGCACTCTCAACCTACAAAAACCTTGCCACGAAAGCTTGGAATTGAAGCACTGCAGGGGACTCTGCTCACATAAGATTATTCACAAGAGACTTTTTCACCTTTCTGGATGGAGAAACAATGGTAAAAGAACTTAGAATGCCTCAGGTGTGCGTCAAGGTGTGCCAAGTCGCTCGTGCTCATACTATAACAAACGAAGAGTAGCTAAAGTAGAAGTCAGAGTTTTTGCCACTCTGTATAACCCTTTACCAACCAAGTGAATCATCCAGAGAGAAAGAAAGTCATAAATGTCGTCCAACTGTATCAGTCGCTCATTTACCTTCCCATTAAAGTGATATGTACCACTGGGTATGTTAGTGATCTTTCAGTTCGTTTCTTCTTTCAGGGGTTGTCCTTTATTTTCGGACTCCCATTTGGATTTTCGCATCACTCAAATGAATTTTTTATTCATGTCCATGAAAAACTGAAGAGATGCTCCAGGGATCCGCTGGAATGGAAGTTCTCATTCGGAAAGCCTCCTGCCAAATATCCTGTGTCCAAATAAAAGACTCTCGAGTGTTGCCCATTCGATCACAACTCCTTAATCATTTGACTAGACAAAAGAAAAAGGAATGGAACTCTTGAAGGAGTAAAGGCAGAGTAAAGATCTGATGAGTGGCCTCTAAAAGGGCAATTTTTGAGTTTCTCCGGATTCTAAAACGCTTTCGTTTTTAAATCGTCATGGAGGCATCCCTCCTGATCGTAAGTTTTTCCGAACTGAGCGGCTTTCAAGTCTGTGAGTAATGTCGTGACTGACTCAACTCGACTACCGCGCCGACTCTTTCTATATGGCGCTGATGATAAATGGGCGTCTATGCGCATTTGGAGGTAATGTTTTCGGAGACTAAAGAGAATTGAAGCTCGGTCTGGCAACCCTAGGTGGATATGACAATTCTTTATTGTGCCCTATCACTGTCGGTTAGGCGCAACCTCTACTGGCCAAAGTAACTTGTCTTGGATGTCGCCTGATCAGTGCGTGCTTCTCACTTCGTCTATGGGTCGGCGGCCATGTCCACTCCCCACGGGACCGCGAACGCGCCGCCATCATTCACACCGAAACTCGCATCGATTTTGGACGAGTTTCTACGTCGACACTAATTTTTTAACGTCGTATGCATCAAGATCTCGCAACTCGTCGAGAATGAAGACATTTTTATCCTCAGCTTACCCCTTGGAGAATTGGTTCCAGTGAGCTTAGCTATTGATGGCTCGGGAACTAAAGGGGAACTACTGAGCTGATAACTCCTTCATAGAACTTTACTCGTACAGTCGTGCCATGAGCCTGCCGAAGAAGATCGTCAAAATATTGAACTCGCTAGGTGAGGTTGGAATCTTCATAGGTGGTAAGTGGGTTTTTCCTATTTGCTCGATTTTTCGTTGAGTCGCCGGTAGCAAGATTATACATAAAAGTAACAGAATCAGTGGAAATCCCTCGAAAACCGGCTGGAAGGGCTTCGATAGGCGCAACTTGTGGAGAGAGTCCTTTGAGAAGTGATAATCAGTGAAGTCGAAGGATCAATCTTATACTCACCTTAAACTCAAGCTAGGGTCTGTGTAAGTAAATACATGTACTTGAGTTCAAAATAGGCAGGTACTTGATTGTCTCGAGTTATTCCGTTTTGCTTTGACTACTTATAAAACCCTTATTAGTAGACAAAGCAATCTCCGTGGGAGGATCGACTCCTCTTCCAGAGCACATGCGCGATCGGGGTGCTGGAGATCCAGAGGACGGAAATGCCGGCAACGAGGGCCACATCAAATCGAAGAAAGTCAAATATGATAAGGTACACGGTTCTCCAGTTGATAGGAACTCCTACTTGACTTGATTTCCTAAGAACAGTCTGGGAATTTGCTATTATCAATGCAAGTAAGATTACCCTGATAAGATATTCCTAAAAAAGGGGGATGTGGCAAAGGTTTAGACAAGTGGTTGAAATAGTTAAGGATGAGATCTGTGCCTCAGACACATTCTAGAAAAAGGCAAATATGACAAACGAAAATCTGTTCCTGCCACCATTGAACCTTAATATACACCCATGCTATCGCTTAGAATCCGATTGTTTCAATGAGTGTTCTATGAAACTCGACATACCCTTCTTGCCCAACACAGTAACCTATTCTGTACATGCCCTATACTGTAGATCGGCCGTTACAGTAATTGTCGCCACTCCACCTGATGCACCATTTGGCCCTCGGTTGTCCCGAAACTAACACGGTACCTTCCCAGATTATGTTTGAAAATAGCCTTCCACATAAAATTGTTGGGCTCATGATACGGCCCATTTAGGCCAAGGAGATGAAAGGGATATTGCTCTTCATGTACATGTACAAGCTATCACTCCATTTCGATCAGCACACTTTATGACTCACTCCCAAATGGGTCGATGGGTCGTTAGGGTTGCTTTGTAGCCATCCAGCCAATTTTTAACTGATGTCCTCCTCTCTAGATTTACCAAATCGTTTAAGAAATTGACCTCAGTCGACATTTCACTCGGTGGTTCCGATCCTTCTCAGACAGAATGTGAAAATCGGTGACAGGGACAGAATCTCACCCAGAAGGCAACTGTATTCTTACTCACGATAAAAGGAAATTTGTGGAAGCGATTGAGGTAGTAAACATAAAAATAAAAATAGTTTAACTTCGAGTGCGGCCAAAAAGAATTTTCGAATACGATAAAACAACATCAGAAAAAAGGAAGAAGAGTTATCAAATGAAAACTTTGAATGAAATAAATGGTAAAGGGCTAAGTTCTAGATGTGCTAATCAATAAAATGCAAAATGCAAAATAGACAGACCCGCTTCCATCGACTTTTCTTCTTCACCGCCTCACCGACAGGCTCTTCCTCGTGTTCGTCTTCACCCTCTTGACGGTCAAGATAAAGGTTAAGACGCTCAGCGCTGAAAAAAACTCATTTTTCCACCACTGCGCAGAATAATATCAAAAAATTCTGGTAAATCGAAAGAAGAGCACTTCATCACCTCTGTAGATTCGAGATCCTGGAATGGGATCTTTATTCTTTCTTTGACGGATAAATTTATTTATTTACTGAGGGCTTTCTCAATCTTTCATTTTTCGTCAGAGAAATAGATCTTTTTTTCTGAAGCATTTTATCACAATTATTCGAATTTCAGACACATTTTGCTTCTACTCACAGGAGAATCTGAAAACACTGAAGAAAGGTATCGATTCCTTTTTTAGAGCACATTACTAAGAGCTCCATGATTCGGATTCCGTAGCTGTGTTTTTCGCACTCGCCGCAGACCTATCTAGAGCTCCATGACTGTGATTTATTGTCCTGCCGTCATGTCCGCTTTGAGAGCTGATTCTTTCTCAAATTCAGAATCCTAAGATTTTGTCCTTTTTCCAAAGAAAAACTTTTCAGCATGTAAGAAAGCATCGAATCACTTTAAGCTGTTTCCTTAAAGATGATTTATCAGGACTTTTCTAAAAAACGGTTCCAAACTAAACTGATGAAGGAAGAAATGGGTGATTACATTTGTGATCGTTTCAAAAATAAAAAAAAATCTTCCTGAGCGAGCGAGTCAGAAACAATTTATGCTGCTGTTAATTCAATCAAAAAGCAAATAAAACAAGAAGTGAGCTCTAGATGACTGGTTTGCCAATTAAGCAATCTCATGAAGTAACGGGTTTTTGGCAGGAGCGAGATGTGNTTTACAATCAAGGTAAGTACTAGATGCACCTGCAGTCACTGTATCACACCCTTATTCATGATCTTTGTAAGATTGAAGGATGTGATTAGGAAGGACCATACAATAGTTCAGCATATCAGATGGAAGTTGTTAAAAGATGTTTGAAGAATAAAAGCTATTCTTCGTCCGAAAAAACTCTCCGGAGTGTTGAAAATAATCGATACGCTATCCTAATGTTCCTTTACTAGCCATTTATCAAGATTTTTTTTAAAAAACAAGCTAGTGACAATCTATTCATACCGCTGTAAACTCATTCAGCAAAATAAAGGAATGAAAGTAGGATGACTGGATTGCAGTTAAGAAACTTTGGTACCAATTAAGCGACCTCATAAAGAAAAGAGTTGCTTGGCAAAAGCGAGCCCAAATCGATGCTTCTAGTATATACTACGAAGCACCTAAAATTAGTGAACTTCGAAAGAGTTGTGTTTCTTCACCAGCTCTCTTTACCATTACTACCCTGAGATTATAAGAACAAAAACCCAATTCACCTAGCTCACAAACAAAATGGAAACTACAGCGAGTTATCTTCCAATTTTAGCACCCCTTTAGGCCATGTGTGGGCAATCGTAAGCGGACCAAATGGGCCATCCGATGAGATTAAAAATCAGGCGATACCCCAATTAGCTATCTAACTAAATGGTTGAACCCGAAAAATTATTATGTCAGTGACCCAGCATAATTTTCGAGCTTCAAGCAGATTATTGCTTCCTTGGAAGGGTCGTCCCCTTCCGGTCATCCCTGAGGAAGCGATCAAAGTCGGCTTTC